TGGGTGTTTGGAAAGGATTTATTGGTACGAAAGTAAAATAGGTAAGAGATACGGGGGGGGAGTATGAGTGTGGCCATTCCGGCAATTTATGAATTCATACGAAATTGTACCCCGTTTGAACATAACAATGTCTGAACATCAATATCAACAAAAAATGCAAGACAATAACGAATCTTGAAGGCACAATTATGAATCGATGGCTGTATTTGGATGACATGAAATAGGTGGCTAGAGATGAAGATTTTTTATCTTGTAACAATGCGAAAAAACATGACCTTTCTTAGAGGAATTCTTCGAATAAACTCATTTAGTTTTTCAAATCGTGTTTGTGCAGGGAAATAACGCTTCGGAGAGAAAAGCTGAAATCATCACCAACCCAGATACTCCAAAATTGTTCATGTCCTCATTTAAAGTCCCCAAATTAAAAAAATTGATCTACCAACTAGCTTATTTTGATTCAATGATTCTTCAATAACGTGTGAATAATTTATATTAGCAAGTTAATCAATCTGGCGATGTGCAATTCATGATGGGATAGGCTACCGCCTTTGGCTTTTAGACACGTAAATTTCGTATTCTTTACCAATACGGAAAGAGCCAATAGCTAATTCGCAGGTTTTGCCTTTATTGTTACGTTTCCTACTCAGTACAAGCAGTCTTGCCCCTGTTTTATATTTGATATAAATCAGAATTAAATTTAATTTAAAGTTAAACAATCAATATTAATCACATATATTATAGGTCACACAACTTTTTGACCACACATAGGGATGTCAATGGATTGGATTTTGATCCGAATCTGATGAAATTAATGGGAGATGGATTTGTTACAAATAATTGAATCGGTAAAATATTTTTATGTCATATTATTTGTCACTAAAATAAATAAATGAGAAGATATATAAATTTAGAATAAAAAAGTCATCAAATTCAAAACTTAAAAAACTTGAGAAATTTATAATTATTAAATATGTTTAAGAACTGGAAAAAATAAATAAATAAAAAGTTGATTCCAACATTGATTTTTTTTTTGCTAATTTCTTTAATTTCGGATCGGATTATCGAATCGGATATCCGATAACATAGCAAGACGAATATGGATTTAACAATCAAATATCCGTTAAATTATCAAATCGAATTGAATAATTATTTTTATCGAATCAGATATAGGCAAATCCGATCCATTGACAACCCTAACCACACATTTCAAAAACTTTTATAAAAATTTTAATTTTAATACCTACCAAACAGCCTCATTTCAAAAACTTTTATAAAAAATCTAATTTTAATACCCACCAAACTTCGGCTTAATAGACAACTGGGGACAAATTAATACCCACCAAACTAATAGGTGGAAGACAATTGGGGACAAATTACAACTAGGTCAATTGTCTGGGGGATTAATGTAGCAAATTTCCCGCGTATTAAAAACATCCATCTACTCCCTAATCAATTATCTAAATGCACGTGGCCCCCCGAGCATAGCTCATTGGTGCAAAGGATATGAGTGAGATAGTCTCAATTGAGCTGGCAACCGCAGTGTGAGGGTTCGATTTCTACATCTTACAAGATATGGAATTAGACTTTTTGTAGACACCAATATGGCAGTTTATGTATCCTGACATGTTGAGGCACATCCCGCTATTTATCTCTTTCACAATGCTCCAGGGGTGGTGACATAGTGAAATATTATAGGAAAGATGAACAACCTCACAAAGATGAGATAAAACTCACGAAAATTCTTATT